TATATATATATATATATATTTTCAATCACTTCTGTCGCAACTAATACCGTTAATGTTGACATTGTTGCTGTGCAGTCTGCGTCGGATGCAATGCATTGTATATATAATTACTATTATGCAAAGCAGGAGAAAGTGGAAAGTTGTCCCATTTGACATATTCCAAAACTATTTCAGCCTTTGATGGCAGACCCATGAGACCGAAGATTGACATGTTCGTTGAAATGAGTTTATTCTGATTCATGTAATTGGCAAGTTATAACTTAAGACTTAGTCGTCGCTTTGTTCTGATTGGCAAGATGAGTCTTTAAGATGGGTTGAACAGCAATAGAATATATGAAGAGAATTTCCACATATAAAAGTCAATCCCATGTGTTTGAACAGCATGATTTATTAGAAATTTTACTTAGGATATATTTAGTCTTAAGATATGTATTGATACATTTCCCCTAAAATCATAATTATGATAGAGCAATATGGGACTTATTGATTAATGAGTTGGGATGTCAATAAATGACTGGACAAAATACAACTAAAACAAGATAAGATTATTTGATGACCCAATTAATGTTCAGTTTGAAATTAGATCCAATTATAGACTCAATTATTTAGGTAAATGTTTAGATTGATTCAAATAATCTTAATCAACCCAAATTTGACTCATTTATAATTTGGGTTTCAATTACGCATATTCGAGTTGGTTAATTTAGTAAAAAATGTCATATTCGAATTAATTGGGTCATGTTTTAAGAGGTTGTAAGGTTTATATAATAAACAAGTTTGATTGCTTAAATTTACGTCAGCTTGGTTACAGTTGAATTATGCTTGTGTCCAATATTTTGATTCATATAATAAATAGTGAATTTGGGTCAAATATATTTGGGTCAAGAGAAATTTGTATATTGTCAATCAACCCTAATTAACATCCCTACAAGCAAGCAATATGGGATCAAAGTAATAATTAGACGAAAGCACTACAATTTTGAGACATTGATTCTTCATTATGATCATTTTAGTGCACTACCATAATAATGAATAAAATTGTGATAAAAACTCGATGCTAAATGTTGAACACCATGTAATGCCTAACGCAAGCATATGAGTGTATGTTCAAGGATAGGGGTGCCATTTCGGGTTAACAAGAATGAGTTGGAAACTGGCCCAGAGTTGACTAGACTTGAATCTGAATGACCTAAACTTAGCCCATTTATCATATGAGTTAAAATATTTTGATCCAGATCTAACAACCCATCACTCGAAACATGAATCCAACCTAACCCATTTATGATATGAATCATGCAATGTATTAGGTCCATAAAGCTTGATTAAGCCATATAACCTTTTTAACCTAGTAATATACATTGTTATTTTAACAATGCATTTCTAACTTCTAAAAACTAAGCCCTGAAAATAAATCGGGCCAAATTTGGATTGGTTTCAAATTATTCAAGTCAGCCCAAATATAATAGTTTAACAATTTCAACCTAGTAATCTTTTTAGCAAGTTTCAATTCAATTATTTGTTGTATCATTCATTGAGACCTATAATTATTCCATGTATGCAGAAATACATGCACCGCCCGATCTCCACCGTTGATCAGAGCAAAGTTATATTTCGGTAGACCCAATTTTTTTTTTTTTTTAATTTGATGAAAGTTCTGATCAACAGTGAAGATCAGACAGCGCATGTATTTCTACATATACGTCGTCCGTATAAAATAATTTTTCAAGGATTAGGGCCACAATAAATTCATTTTATTGTGTCAGGAGGACTGCAAGACCAAAAAGTCGTGAAGGCAAGAGTGGGCCATGGGTGGGACCAGGAGGGGTTATAGGCAGGGGGGACTGCATGAAATAAGGCTATAGTATTTTATGTTTTTGTGTTGATCTTTTACGATTGTGCTGTACTTATTTAAATGATTCACTTAATAAAGAATTCTGTGGGAATAGTTTTTTTGCTTATTATTTACGTACATATCAACTAATTCTTATGCACTTATATATCCAGCACAAAGTACTTTTTAATTTATAATGCTAAATATTTTTTTTAATTAATAAAATACAATATTTTTTTAAATAAAATATATAAATTTAATTTATAATTATCAAAATAATATTATTTTTTATTATTTAAGTAATTAGAGCCAAAATAAACGGAACACGAAGAAACAAACTTTTATATATGTTCAACTCGTTTATGAATCAAACTAAAAAATTTTATTCATTTCGTTCGTTTGTTTTGCGAACGAATCGAACAACGGCTACTTAGCGAATCGTACACAAGTTCGCAAATAACAAATTGTTCTGACAGCCGTAGTTAAAATTACATTTAACAAAATAAAGTATTCAATAGCAATTTAGTCATAATTGATGGGAGGAATTATAAATATATCATTAATATTCCTATATTTATAAATTTAACTCATAATTGACGTTTTTTATTCATGCACGTCACCTATATCTTTTGAATATAAGAAAATTGCCACCGGTAAGGAATTAATAAAAGTACCAAGCATTCCAACAGTTTGCCTTACCGAACCACATTGAAATTACACATGAAACTACATGAATCACACTACGTTGTCATGGATACAGTATAATGCGATCCACACCAGTGTACATAACGTTAAGTTTTCTCCAAAGGAGGTTTGTATTCAACGATATCATGGATTGGGGATTTATGAATTGTGACGAACACGAAATAAAACAGAGTTTATAAATAATGTTTAATAATAAATATAGTAATAGTGCTTTTTTATCTATAGGGTCTTAGCTTTAATGATATATATATATATTGATGTACAAAGTTTCAAACCTATTATCATTTTAAGAACCACATTATGATAGATTAATAAAAGTTTTAACCATTACTTTTTGCAAATGTTATAAAACCATGGCAAGCATTAAGATTTATCCACTGGCTTCACGATTCTACAAATGGCATCTCAATACATTCTTTAGTTAATGAACCGCAAATCATCATTCCAATAGTATTTTAAGCTTTCGGTCATTCTGTTTAGATCTACAATTTCTCCTAGGTAAGGAAGGGATTGACGATTTGACATCCTCGCCAATGACAATAAAACACATTTAAACTCGTTCATCAAACAAGGAGAATTGGAAAGTAAAATTCAACGCATGAACGCAAGCTTACAATATGTTATTCATGACCTAATATTCCATCACGAATGAAGCTCAGCTTCCATACTTCTATCAGTATATCATTTGCAAGGGGCTTTACATACATAGCACCCAATTCAACACATTTAAACTCGTTCATCAAACAAAGAGAATTAGAAAGTAAAATTCAAGGCATGAACGCAAGCTTATAATATGTTATTCCTGACCTAATATTCCATCACGAATGAAGCTCAGTTTCCATACTTCTATCAGTATATTATTTGCAAGGGGCTTTACATACATAGCACCCAATTCCTATATATTTACACACTTAAAAACTTGAATTTTTTAACATGCCATCCAGATGTTCCCTATCACATCAAAAACACCATTTTAAATTTGAAAAAAAAAAAGTGAAACACATACTTTTAACGCATATATAAGGTGGCATGCATGTAAAACTTTAAGTTTAGGTATTATATATGTTAATACATAGGAATGGAGGAGCGGTATGTATGTAAATCTTCCTATTTGTAAACTAGCTAAATTAATATAAAGAAGGTATACCCCTAAAAAGAGTTTAGAAATGCATGTCGCTAGAGAACATATATCAACTGCATCAATGGAATAAAATAATAAGACGCATCAAGCCAAATTATAAGGGGGGGGAAAAATTACGGGCAAAATGTTCTTATTCAAGCTCTTTAAAATCACGATGCATTGACATTAGTCATGCTTTCATATCCAAAATTTATTTTTGCCAGAAAAATATCCATAATTTACTATTTTATCATAATTTATTACTTTATAATAAAAAATAATTGTTAAATCTTTATTTTCTTCATGTCCAAAAAGAATAATAAATAAAAGTTACAAATAATATTTTCCCTTAAACAACTATATATATATCTTAATTTTTAGACATTCTAAACCAATTATAAAGAAAATACACTTTATGATACTACGAGCCAATATTTTTTAAAAAATTCTTATTAAGAAATGGTTAATCACATCCCTGACATTATTTCTCCATTCATTAATTTTGCCCCTAAAATAACAAGTATTTCACCCCTATATTTGGCAAGTGGCCTAGCTTCATTTGTTTAAAACTCCCAATAGGCCATGTAGGCGTGTGCAATAAGCTTTCATTTAAAACTCAAATACATTGCACCTGCAAAGGGACGCTCAACTACTGCAAAAAACAGGTCTCTTTCCATCGTTTAGCATTCCAAAGCAAACAATCCCTCTTCTCCCCACATCCTTCCCATCCAAAGATTCCCTTTTTAAGGTATAGATTATCAGTTTCTCACTCCCAATTGATCTGAAGAAAATCCCCTCGAATCAACACCAAGTCTATATGGGGACATACAGTACAATCTCATTATATGCCGCATCTATGCGCGGATATATATAGAAACAATTTGCTTGGGAACTTGAGCGTATATATTTCTAGGCTAGAAGAAAGAAAGGGGAAGCTGGTGACACAGAGACAGAGAGATTGATGAAAAAATACTTCAAGGCATGGTCAGTGCTGGTGCTGGTGGCTCTCACGGCCGCACTCGTGCTTCTGCCGCTCGTGCTGCCGCCATTACCACCCCCGCCGCTGCTCATCCTCTTCGTCCCCTTAGCCATTATGCTTCTCCTCCTCATCCTTTGTTTCCTCCCTCACAAAGTAATCACGACAGACATCACTCTAACATCCCACTTCCCACATGAGTAAATCATATATCCCTCATCACTCGAATCTGTTAGAATTGTGAAAATGATTAACTTTACTTCAAATTTTAACGAGATGTCTCTCAGTCTATCCTCACGTTTATTGAACAAATGCAGAGAAAATTTCAGCAGAAGAGGCAATGAGATATGCGCTGATGAGGCATTGGATATGCATGAATATTCAGTAAGGGAAAAGAAAAGAATGTGACTGAGAGGGGGTTGATCACTCACACTCTTTTCCTTTAGCGGTGAGGTAGTATTGTTTCCGGTGGCAGGGTGGTGGTTGGTCTCGGCGGCGGTGAAGGAGTCCATGTGTAGATGAGAAGTCCGACGATGAGGACAGCCGCGCCCAACACGAATCCGGTCGGCAGTGGGGATGGCGTGCCTATGAAGGGCAGTGGAAGCGTGAAGGCGTAGATGGAGAGAGGCACTGTAAAGAAAAGTTCAAGCAGTTAATATGAGCATGAGTTATGGAGGCTATTGTTTTACTTTTGAAGTCAAATAAATGAAATATATAAAGCTTTTGTGGATCCCTAGTCGACATATTTTCTCACCTTGGTAAGGTCTGTTCATATATGACCTACTTGTCTCACTATTAGACTTTTGTTTTAATGAGTCAGCATGAAATAATGTAGCGTAAAGCCCTTAATTAGCTCTCTCTCTCTCTCTCTCTCTCTCTCTCTCTCTCCATTTCTTTTAAGGGGCATTCACATACATACCACATAATTCATATGGATTTACATATCTAACACCTAAACTTTCACATTTTACTAGCCTAGCACTCAATTTTTTTAATATCACATCAAAAATATCATTTTTATTTACTTTTTAAAGTTAAAATACATATTTTATATTTATGCATAGATTTATGACAGTGTTATAAATATAAATATAAATATTTAGTGGTTAGATATGTAAATATATAAGAATCTGTGGTAGGCAAGTGAATTTCCCTACTTTTAATTCAAACTATATATATATATA